AGTCTGTTACATACTTACATTCAAAGCATGTAAATCATGTAGTCTGCTGGCTGCAGCTGCAAGAAGTTGGTATTCGCGTTTATATCTTTCAAATTTAATAATTTAGGATGTTCTTACTTCTTACTTCTTTAGCTCTTTCATATTAAATTTATGAATTATTTATGATATTTGGCTATTGACTTTTTGCTATGTATAATATGGATTAAATCCTTTAATTGTAGTTCATCTATTGTTATTCAATCTCAATTTCTTCAGGTAGTTAATTAATTAATGTTCTGCTGTTAATTGATTTCATAAATTAATTGGTTTCATCTGTTAAACTCTAACTTTCCTAAACAGGATTTTGATTCATTTGAAGAGGAGGTTTATATGCCAAAAAAATCTGAATTGGAGATATATCTTGATGAACCTAAACTTGATAGAAAAATTGAGCTAGATATACTACATTTCTGGAAAGGCAATCAATATAGATTCTCTGAAGTTTCTACAATGGCACCTGACATTTTGTGTATTCTTATAACAACAGTGGCCTTTGAAAGTGCATTTAGCAATAATGGTCGAATCCTAGATCAATATCGAAGTTCACTGAAACCTGATATTATTGAGGCTTTGGTTTGTGCTAAGGATTGGTTATATGGTGACAAGGATGCATATCAACTTTTACTTAAGTCAATATCTTGAATGATTACAGTTAGTAATGGTTATGAATATCTATTTTTATTTGTTGCAGGGTCGAATCCTAGATCAATATCGAAGTTCACTGAAACCTGATATTATTGAGGCTTTGGTTTGTGCTAAGGATTGGTTATATGGTGACAAGGATGCATATCAACTTTTACTTTAGTCAATATCCTGAATGATTACAGTTAGTAATGGTTATGAATATCTATTTTTATTTGTTGCAGTTTTGCATGACCCTGAACTTGAAGGTGTAACTGAAGATATTCTTGCTTTAATAGTAAATTGAGTTGAAAATGAAGCTGGGGAAAGTTATGTTATTAAGTAATATATGGTTCTTAAATTCTATCAGGTATGCAATTACTATAAATTCTGTCAGTATTTATGTATTATGTGACCTGGACTCTTCTTATTTCATGAACTATGCCACTATGGACCTTCACTTTTCTTGAATATTTCTGTTATTAAGCTGCTACTGAGTACTGACTTGTGAGTTGGGAATGAGTTGTTAGAACCGGCTGCTGTTTTGGATTTTCTGTAATCTCATACATTCATCTGGCTGTTTTGAATATCTATTTTTATTTGTGAGACCTGTTGTTTTCCCATAATATTTATCTTGTTTTGTTGAATTTGGATCAATCTCATCTTCTCCTGCATGGCTGATTGGCTGCATAACTGCAGTCTGCATTCATATTTCTTGATGGTTTGTTGTTTGCCTATTTGGGATTGGGAAATGTAAGTGAATAAGCTATTTTCTGATATTTCCTACTGTCTGCATTCCTTTTTCCTGCTATTTCCTGCTGGTTGATCTCATAATTCATTATTTCATATATTTTTTATTTTAAATATTAAGAGAATAAGCGATGAGGATAGACATTCTAAAATGAATGTGGGAAGATGAGAAGATCCGAAGATATGTGTAAGTTATAATAAGCTAATGTGATATTACAACCAGGAGGCATTTGTATTTACTTCAAAAGAGCATATATTATCTAATTAAGTGAGCAGATATTAAGTGAGTAGAAATTGTTTCCTTGGATGGTAATATTACTAATATGCTAACATTTATTAAACTTACACCTCATTCTGTGATTAATGAATTGGAGGGTTTAATCTGAGCCATGTATTAGATAATAAATACTTAGAATTTTATACTTGTTTAATTAAGTTTATTGCAGTTATATCTCTAAGACAATAGGTGATTGAAGAATGAAGACAGATTTTCAGATTCAGACATTCTTGGAGGCTAGACTGCCGGAGCAGTCGAGTCCGAACCAATGAAGGCTTGAAGTCTTGAACCTTGAAGCTTCTATATTCAGTTTATCAATTATTTACATCTATTGTAAATGGGATAACTAAATTAGCAATTGATATTTCTCTTATTTGATATGTGAGATTGTATATTTGTAATTGAGTAATTGTAACATGTAACTATTTGCATATTTGTAATTGTAAAAATTTGCCCTTGGTTTTTACTTTTCAGCCATTTAAAACCTGTTTTAAATTTTTTATAGTGCAGATGGGTCAAACGGGTCGGGTCGGGTTGACCCAGACCCGAAGCGGGTCAGGTTGACCCAGACCGGAAGCGGGTCGGGTCCGGGTCAGCATAAATGACTCGTTTCAAGAAACGGGTCGGGTTCGGGTTGACCCGAATGGGGTCGGGTCAATTTCGGATTGGACCCGAACCCGACCCGAAACCCTTTTTTGATAGCCCTAGTTTCACTGGGTTCTCATTTCAGGATTAAAAATTTATTTAAATAAAATTTAAACGACATAGAAAAATTATGTAATAAAATAAATTTTTAATTAAAAAGTAAATTAAATTCACCCATTAATAATATTTTATCAAATTTTAATTTTAAACATATTCAATTTTAAATTTAATTCAAATTTAATAAAAATTTAGTTAACATAAAAAATTGTCCAAATCAAGGACTCGAAGCATTGTTGGAAGGTTCGAACCACAATTTGGGTTATCAAACGGTTTCTAAACATGACATGCTTATAGTCGAATCGAGAGGCTCTGCGAGATGAATCCAACGAGCTCAAGATCGTCGAATTCCAACATCATTAAAACCTTCAAATGTATGATGAACAATACACAATCAAGGGATTCAATGTCGGCCGTCCATCCAACCACTCCCCATTTACCCTTGATCTCTCACCTATTTACGAGCCACGACACTCCAGAAATCTATAAATAAATCCCTCCTTTCTCTTGAAAGGGGAGGCTCCAAGCAAGAAGAGAAGAA